GTGTGTGTGTGTGTGTGTGTGTGTGTGTGTGTGTGTGTGTGTGTGTGAGACAGAGAGAGGGAGGGAACTTAGTGCTAAATTGATGAAAGGGCCAGTTTAGATGCTAAATGTAATCGTCATTTTGTTTTTTTTCTCAGTACTTATTGAGCCTGATTTGGTGATTGAATATGTAAATGAGTAGTGGTAAACGTGTCTTTGTCCTTTTGAAGCAGAGAGAATGGCATGTTACACTCATTTACCGCAGTAGGAAACAAGTTGTTAGCTATTTGTGTTCGCCAAGCGTTGGTGACTCAACCGATCTAATCTGGGGTCTGCTGCAGCTATTTATTGACACCAGAAGAAAGGTATTTCTTCTGACGCAGAGTCAACCAATATTCTTTGGTTCTTACTTGGTTCATACCTGGATGACAGTGTTTCATGTGTTTTGGAGCACTTTAAAGAGGACCAATGATCCTCTTTATCTCTGGAAGATCATGGCATACGATCAAAAGCTCTAGAAGAGCTACTGAGCTACTTTGAAGTGAGATTGTTGTCAACTGGTGTCAAGAATGAACTTTAAATCTCAAGATTTTCACAGTTATCTGAAATGAAACACTGGATCCCTGGAAGGTTAGACTTCCGTTGGGCACCTGAGCTGAAGGGTGACCTCTTTAAACTCTAGTCACCTCTGCTGCCATCTTATATGTGCATATGTAGTTGTAGTCATGTGTACACGTTTCTTCCGACTCACGCACATGCCATGAGTGTGGGGAAATGTAAAGGTTGTGACCTTGCAACTCTTGTTTGATAAGTTCCTGTCATGCCCAACGTTGTTCGGCACTTCCGCTCTTTACTTAGTCAATAGCATCACACCAAACTCGCAGGCCTCTTCACCCCCGTCGGTGAGTGAGAGAAAATAGCGATGAAGGTGTTTAAGGTGGCAAGACTCACTCCAGAAACATTCATACTTAACCAGTGAGTCACTCCTGTTCCATACATTTATTGAACCTCAGAGAAATGTCAGCAGATCAAAGATTATTTACATCAAAGTTTCTAGGTAATAAAATCCAGTTATTTCAGGATTTATGTCATGCAGTGAAAGCTTTTTCTGTAAGACAGGAAAGGGAAGGGGGGTGACCCTGAGTGAAGGGATCCCCTCTGATGACATCACCAGGCAAGGGTGCTGCAGTTCCAGGCAAACAGATGGCGTGGGAGTTGTAGTTTATTTGAAACGACGTGGCTCCACAAGAAGCTGGGATGTGGTGGTGACGTCGGTAGAGTCCCTCCCCCCGCTGCCGGGAACAGTCACAGATCATCCCAGAGTGCCAGCTCACCCCTCTCGGCAGCTTCGGTGGTATGGCCCTGCCTCGCTCCAGTGAAGCACATTTTGGGTGATGAGAGGACATGAATCAGAGAGGACAGGGAGAGTAAGACAAGAAGTCCAAAGGCAGAAAGCTCAGTCACTGAGAGGCTACTGAAGGACTCAAATGTGACTTTTTAATCGAAATGTGTTTGGCTGAAGAAGAGGAAATAGTTCATCCTTTCTTGAGGGTTTTCTGAGAGTTTACCTAAAGTACAGGTAAGGAGAATGTTTCCACTGAATTTGATACTGTGATATAGAAATGTAATTATGATTTGAAGCATTTCAAAAATAGAAGTCACTTAATATAGGAAATAAAAATCAGATATCCAGGATTCATAAATTATTGCTGACAAGAAAGAAATATAAATTCAAAATAAGAACTTTTTAAAAGTTAAATAATACTTTTGTATCAAAATGTTTTCCAAAAAGCTATGACCTAAGTCTATTTCCACACAAATTAAACCTAACTTAAAACAAAATGTAACCGTAGACCTCACAGTTTACTCTCATAATGTTAATCCTCGTGTCATCATTAAAAACAACCTCAGGAACAAACTGTGTTTACAACTTCCTTGCCTGCCCTCTCGTTCTTGTTGCTACTGTGCCTGTGAGTTGTTGTTGACATGGCTTTTGAAATAGCTGCGGTCCGAGCGAGTCACCATCTGTCCCCGGGGGTCGCTCAATTTGGGATATCCCACATACGAGCCAGCCGTGATCATGTATATGTCATGTATCACTTTGCAAATGTATACTGGATACGGGTAGCCAGTATTGTCGTATTACTTTCTTCTGGTAAGCACAAGTGTTACCACAGAATGAGCTGTTGCTTGTGTGATTGGTGCATTTTCATGGAAGCAAGTATAGTGTTTTACTGTTTGAAATAGTGCCCTGGCCTATAATTAAAGTACACATTGTGTGTGAATTACACTACTGTACCTGACCTCTGTTTATGTGTTCATGTGCCACAAATGAGTTGTGATGCATTTTCTTTTATTCAACAATCTATCAACAATCTATCTTTTTAAATTTGGGTATTTTTTCCCATGGTTGCACTTTGACTTTCCAAAAAATGAACCTTCAAATAAGAAATGTCAAATTATACTATTTATACTTCTGACATTGTAAACAAAGGTGATTTTTTAATTTTATTTATTTTTTACTGTGGAAGCTTACAGACTGTTTTGAAAGTTGTCGAAGGTAAAGTTACTCTTCATTCCTTCTTTGAAGCACAGCCAGGCCCGAATAATTTGATTCAGTTTGAGTTGAGATGAAATACTGTCCTGCCCCATATAACAAACAAAATACACCAAAAGCGATCATATAAATATGTCCATGATATACAAATTACTTTTTCCTGTGAACCAATTCAGATACTTTGATTGTGCAACATGTAGTCAATCAGTCTGACTTTGCCAGCATGATTCAGCAGCCAGAAGTCAACTTCAAGACAGCTCATCCTCTCCCAGTCCAGCTCTGGGCTTTCAAACTGGCACTGCAGCTCTTCTCTTTGGCTCGCACAGACCAGCTGTTTCAGTGTGTTGGACAGGAGCCGCCCCAGTTCACGTCAGACCATGTGGGCTTGCACTGACGCAACGTGACAGGGGCTTTAGCACTGCAAATTGGCTATTAATAGAGCTGGAGGGGCTGTGTTGCTGGAGCTGAACCTTGGTAAAAAGAATCGTATGCAGAGGGGGGGGGGGGTTGTGTGTTTGTGTGTGAAGACAAGATGATACAAATAATCTGGAACAGGTTTTGTACTCACCCTTTGCTCTATGTTTGTATTTATGGTTGGAAATGCGTGAAAACATGGAACTATCTTTCCATCTCTTTCAGATGTTGTTCACACCCAAGGTCCACTTGATGGAAGCCTATATGCCCGGGTCCGCAAGAAAGACTCTCTGGAGGGAGTTGTCACCATCAACGGCCTCCCAGTCCATGAAAACCCCTTGACCAATGCCGAGAACCCATTACAACACCCCAGTCATCCCCTCCAAACCACTGACCAGACCCTTCCTGTGACAGGCCACGCCTCCCTCCCTGCCGTCGATCACACCTTATCCGTGAGCAGCGACTCAGGCAACTCCACCGCATCCATCAAGACTGATCGTACTGATGAGCACAGCCAGTCCGTGCAGGGTGCCGTGAACCACAACAACCCAACAGCGACCCACCCGTCCCTGAGCCCGCAGGAGAAAAAAGAGCTCGACCAGCTTCTGAGTGGCCTCGAAGCACCAACTCACCAACGACAAGCCTACCTGTCCACGTCCACCAGTCCAGGAGGAGGTGTCCGACACCTGGTCCCAGCGCAGGTGCACGTCAACGGGGGCCATACCAGGCTAGTTGCCGCCCCTTCAACAGAGGAGCGTGAGACAGAAATTCTAGACGACGAGGTGCCCAATAGCCAAGAGGGCAATAGTGTGGACAGCTTGGGCACGCTCTCATCCCTGGAGGGCCAGGCAACACCGGCTGACCTCTACTACCAATCACAGACTCCCAGCAGCAAGCAAAACGACGGACCCTACCTTGAGAGAGTTGTTCTTGGGGAAAAGTTGAGCGAGATGCCCGTGCATGGAGTACAAACGCCCACGGCGATGCAAGAGAGGTCTGTGAACTCTGCATCGCCACAGGGGGGATTCAAGAACTACCAGAACGGAGAAGGGATGTACCGTTCACAGTCTTTTGGGAATCCGCCAGCCGGCAGCCCTGAGACCAACCCGAAGCTGATGCCCAGGGCCCCAGAGAGGAGCACCAGTAGCCGGGAGGCTGTTCAAAGGGGTCTCAACACCTGGCACCAGTATAGCCTACCAGATGATCCCTTTGGCCCTCCTCTTCAGTCAACCCATAGCTTGCCCCACTTCCCCACCTCAGCCTCGCAGCGGGACATTGAGCAGTCCATTGAGGCACTCAACATGCTCATGCTCGACCTGGACCCAATCAACTCCCACATGTCCAAGTCCCACAGTGCGCCTCCTGGGGAGGACAGCCTCAATTCATCCCAGGCACCCTTCTCGCAGACCCTTGCAAGACCGTCATACCAAGCAGACTCTGCCATCCATGGTTACAACAACTCCGGGTCCGTCAACAACTCCTTTCATCAGCCCCTGTGGGCGACTGGGAGAGCGTTGCCCAACCAGAGCCCCCTCATGGAGTCCCCGGTCTATTCTCCCCAGAGGTCCAACGCCGGCTACCAACACCAAAACACCACCCCAACACACACCCCTGAGCCCTACCTCCACACACACCAAGCAGCCCACCATTACCCCACAGATCCCTCCCCTAATTTCAACCAGCAGGTGCCAGTGAAGCCTGTGAACTCATACCCAGGAGGCGGGCTTTCCCACTCCCCGGACCCGCAGGACTCGTCTCCTTATCCAGGCTACAGTGCCTCTTCCTCTCCTCTCCCCGCACTCACCCCCCAGCCAAAAGACACGTCTTCTTCATCCTTGCCCAAAGAACAAGATGCAGAGGAGGAGACGCTTAACTTGGAGGGCCTGGTAGCTCACCGCATTGCCGGTAAGGCTCCGAGTTATGTCTGAAATCAGCAGGATGAACAGCAGATTGCCATGCAACAATAATACTTTCACAACAGATGCATGTTGGTTAGTTACAAATCTAAAACAGGTCTCAGGTCAGGTATATTTTCTTGCCATTATGAAATGAATGGAAATGAATTAGGATCTATGGCAGTGCAATATGCTTTGAAAGTAATCTGCAGCTATTGTTTCATAAATTAGGCTTTAAATCATTTGAGGCAAAATGTGTGCATCCAAAATGCTGACAAGGCTGACTGGATTGGACACTATACTGTATTATGAGTTCATTTTGTTAAGTGTCAACTTCAGCTGGAGGCACTTTTAGTCTCAAGCACCATGTAGCACATGAGCAGTGCGGCTTTCAGCAGTTTCTGTTACCGATTCATCATGGGGTGCCGCACCAGAGGAATGACCTGTAGTCATAAAATTAGCTCTGCAGCTGAAATGCAGCAGAGCAGACTCTGGTGAGAGTGGAGATGGGATGAGAGTAAGAATAACCGAGCGTTCAGAGGCTTCAGCTTCCATGCATTGTCTGCATCCATATTTTCATTTATGTGAAACCATGTGGATGCTCCCAGGTGCCACCCAGTGGAAGAAATCATCTAATTCTGAACCACTTTTAAACATGAAATAATCATCAACCCTACAGTAATGAAAATCAATTAATTGGACAATGCACAAGTTATCACCTCATTTGACAGATTTCTTTTCATTTTCTCTTCACTTTCATCAGATCCATTTCTGTTCTGATATTTCTTCTCCTTTTCTGTTCAATCCATCTCTCTGCTGTATGGACAACCCTTCCCACCATTTGCTCCCACCACTGCACCTCTCCCACCTTCCTCCTCCACCTTCCTCCTCCACCTCCTGCCCTCCATCCACCACCCTGACCTCCCTCCCCTGGCGAACAGAGTACAACGCTCGTATTCGGGGCATCAGTGAAAGCATGACATCGCAACAATCTGACCGTCATCGCTCCTTTTCCTTCTCTGGTGTGTCCACTTTCCCTCGCTTTTATTTTCCTTCGCTGATTTTTTCAGATTATTTTAACATCTCTTCTCATCAATTCCTGTTTCTTCTCTATTTCCACTGCTTTTTTTATTCCTTTCACTTCTTGATATACTTATTCTCTCTCTCTGTCTCTCTGTCTCTGTCTCTCTCTCTCTCTCTCTCTCTCTCTCTCTCTCTCTCTCTCTCTCTCGATAAAGGCAGGTTTGTATTAAGTCCAGGCTTTACTTTTAAAAGTGGAGAATAAACCTACACATCATCTAATTACATGAAAAATGTCATAAAGAAGCTGAGTTTAAAAGAACATTGGTCTATATTTAACCAGTGTCCCTCGCTGGTTGTCCGACGTCGACCCGTCTCCTGCGTCACTTCTGGGGTCATTCTGAGGGCTGCTTTTTAAAAATATACCTAGCGAGTTGAAATTCCACTCTTGTTTTTTTTTATTCAGGGGTTCGATCCAGAGGAATGACCCCAGAAGTGATGCAGGAGACGGGTCGACGTCGGACAACCAGTGAGGGACAGTACCAGAGCAGCCATGATAACACGCCGATGGTGGATTCGCCGGACTTCGCCCACAATCTGGCCCTCAACCCGGGAAGACGTCCCAGAGAGGTCAGCATTTTGTTTTGTGAAAAACAATATTGGACACATTTTTACAAAAAAAGAATAAACAGTATATTTGTACTTTGACCTAACTTTCACATGACCTACAAGTGGAAGATGTCTAAATCCCTTTTCTGGTACATGTGTGTACACCTGACCCCTCTTCATCTCTTCCAGGGTCCCATGCACAGCTACCGGGAGGCGTTTGAGGATGACGATGCGGACGGGTTTGACAACAGTCCCGCCTTTGGAGGCGGTGGTGAGAATTCCCCCCAGACCCCAAGCTTCCCTGTGTCGCCACAGACTCCTTACTTCAACATGTGTAGGTTCACCCAGCCTGCAGACAGGGGGCGCTCTCCAACCCTCTAAACACTGACCTTTGACCTGATTTACTCTCTTTTGTCTTATTTTTAATTATCAAAAAAATGATTTACTTATGAAAAGATAAAAAAGGAAAAACCAGGAAATAATTACATAATGAAATCAACAAAAGTAATGTTTTTTATTTTTATTTGATTGATCATTTTATTAAGTTTATTTTTTATCTAACCGTAGTTTGGTTGGACAAGTAAATATGTACCTGAGAGAGAAAACTAGTGTAACAAAAAACAAATAAACCAGGACAGTAACAATACTGCAAATAAATTTCACAAGTTAAACTCTCAGCAGCAGATGAAATGGAGTCTCTCCTCACATTCACGAGCCTCCAATTCACTTACTTTAACATCTGCAGTCGCATCGCTTAATTAATGACAATCTTGCTGATCATGTGCTGCAATATTCACTCCTTAATTTCCTGTATTATGAGCGTGAACCGCCATTGTCTCCACTGCTAATGCCTTGCCCAGAAAAATGTGGACACCCCCCTCCGAGCATATCTATTACTGACAGGAGCCAGGTCCGTGTTATTTTCGACATTGTGAGGTTCAGGAAAAGTGAAAGGAGAGGCCACACACGCCAAATCAAATATATTACTCCTTCAAACCAAAGTCCTTGAGACATATTAGATTTCCAGACACCCGGTCGGTTACAGCGCCAACCACAGTGATCAGCAGGTTGTTTGACAGATTGTGTATAGACTGTGAGGTTGGCCTCCTCTCCTGCAGTCGGTCCTGAACGCACACAGCTGTTGCAGTAAGAATCTGCTCCGTGGCACAAACCTTCATATCTACGCCACCTCACCCCTCTCCATGCCACCTTAAGTGAGCAATCCCGGTCATGCTGTTGAGCTGGAGTCTTGTGTATCATCACAATCTAATACGGATCCGATCTCCGTTTGCGTCGCAGCATGCTATTAATCTTTTCATGACTGAATACTTGCGTTGTGGATCGATGGCTCATGGCTCATTTTCAGCTACAGTGTCATAATTTGTCATTTTAAGAAAACTGTCACAATCTAAACAACACGCCACCATATGCATATCCATTATTCTTATTCTACTTGTCCAGGAGTGGAAGTAGGCTCACCTCAGTGCTTGTTGACCATTTAATAAGATACTTAATTATAATTGTGTGCCGTGTGCAACCGAGTGTCCCTCAAACATCCACCATCTAATGCATTTTCACGTAGCATTGCATTGATGCTAAAGTGAAGAATTGTGTCTTTTCATGCCTTACATTGGTTGTTTTACATCCTTGCATGGCTTGTATGTGCAATTCTCATACTCATTGTCCTCGTTGTTGGTTATGATTAATAGTTATAGTCCTTTACATCCCTGTCTTTTCCCCTGCAGCTCGCTCTCCTCCAGGTTTAACCAAGACTCCTCTGTCAGCTCTGGGACTGAAGCCTCATCACCAGGGCGGATCAGGTCAGTTTACACCCATCAAATATAATATATTCATCTTTGTTCGAGTAAATTTCCTGTTCATTTGATTATTCTAACAACATTAAAGCTACTTAAGAGGATCAAAAGGTGGAATAGAAAACATTAAGAAGCTTTTGTAACTCCTGGAAATGCTTCCACTAAATGCTAACAGCTAACACAAACCCAGTTTTGCTTTGCGCTCAAACATGTCCTCCTCTTCTTCCACACATCTCCTTTTCTCTGGCTGTCTATCTTTTCCTGCTGTCAGACTCTGATTCCAATGATGGAGAGCAAGGTAAGGACATTTCTGCGGCAATATACTGTATGCGTCTCCTGTCACTCCAACTTTTTTCTTTGGGTCCGACGTCAGATAACTGCATCCCATTTGGTTCTGGATAAAACATATGAAATGACACACATAGTTGATACTGACTATGTTTGTTTCTGTGATGCTTTGTGATATTCAGATAATCGCAGTTTTGGGGACTGCAGAGCACAACCATTCAACGTTCCTTTCTCCTCCAGCAGTCCCGTCCACAGCGCTGATGGGTGAGTGGGACATGTAGTTTCAATAGCAGCAGCAAGTTTAAAACGATCCCCTAATCAACCAGAATACTAATCAATAGCCAATCTGCATATCAATAGTTCCTTATGATCAGATCAGACACTCAGATATGTATTGTATATTGTGATACTGTAGTAAATGACAGTTAAGGTGTCGACCATTGATACGAAACACAGATGGAAAAATAATAGTTATGTCTTCTTCTTTTGCTTGCAGAAGGAGGATTGGTTGTTCTCCGCACAGTCCCATCCCCTCCTACCCTTACAGACCCACCTCCCCCGAGGGCTCCCAGGTCAACATCATGGGGGTCCACACCGTCCCCGGCAGCCCCAACACCCTCCACCGCACAGTGGCCACCAACACGCCGCCGAGCCCCGCCCTGCAGAGACGCCTGGGTCAAGCCAGCCCCTCATTGGGCAGACACCCTACTCCAGCAGGCGTCCCTTCCAGCCCTCTGATTGGCCGAAACCCTCAAACAGCAGCAGCTGGCGTGCCCCCCAGCCCCCTGATGGGGCGCCGCACGGCGGCAAGCGGCCACAGCACACCTGACGAGCTGGGGGCCGCTTCCCGTCAGGGGAGCGCCCAACCGCCCTCCACGCCTGCCTTCCCCGTCTCCCCACAGCTGCCGGAGAAGAGGCACATGTCCAGCGGAGACGCTGAGAGGACGGACAACAAGAACCTGACGCCGGCCAGCGGTGGCAGCACACCAAACCTGTCTGGCACACACACACTCCCAGACGTCTCAAAGTCCATATACGGTGATACGAAGAAACATGACATGGTAGTTTACCTCTCGGAATGTTTGTGTCCTCTCCAGTTATCATGTCCTTGTCTCTTTGGTCCAAACAGATGGTTATCCAGACATTAAGATGAACGTCAAGTTCGTCCAGGACACCTCCAAGTTCTGGTACAAGCCAGACATCACCAGAGAGCAGGGTGAGAGTCAGATATATCTCTTCATCGCCTTTATATCCTCCTCATTTTGTTTTCTTCTGTTCATCTCCCTTTCTGATCTTCTCATCCTCCTGTTTCTTCTTCCTCTTTTCTGCTCCTTGGCCTCTTCAGCCATCAATGTGCTGAAGGACAGGGAGCCCGGGGCGTTCATCATAAGGGACAGCCATTCCTTCAGAGGAGCCTACGGTTTGGCCATGAAGGTGGCCTGCCCGCCACCAACCATCCAACAGACCAAAAAAGGTAAAGAAACAAACTTTGGCAACGTGAAAGTTTTATTTTGAAGCAGAATATCAGATTTTTGAGGTAAGAACTGATCTTTTCACAAACAATGTTTTCCAGTTGGTGACATGACTAATGAGCTGGTGAGGCACTTCCTGATTGAGACGAGCCCCAAAGGCGTCCGTCTGAAGGGTTGTCCCAATGAACCCTACTTTGGTGAGTTTATTGCCCGGTCTTGAAGATCGGCGTTTGATATCAAAGTGATCAAGTTGAATAGAGAGATTATTTTGTGTTTGTAGGTTGTCTTTCTGCTCTGGTGTACCAACACTCGATGACTCCGCTGGCTCTGCCCTGTAAGCTGATGATCCCCGCCAAAGGTCAGCGTTACCCTCTTATCTATATGAATGTTACTGCTGTTTATTGCAATTTAAACAGCCGTCTGTTTCTTGTAGTCTGTGTCGCAAAGTTGTTTTCTGACATAATTAATTCATTTTCTTCTCGATTCTATTCTGTCACTCACAGACCCAAATGAAGAGGCTTTGGAGCTCGCCACACCTATTGATCCAGCTGTTGAACTTCTGAAGCAGGGAGCAGGTAAGCTCCTCTGTAATTCACCTGTGGAGAGATTTCGTCACAGGTTTTTATGCTGTAGAGTCTCAAAGTGTCACTGATCACCGATATAGCTTCCATCACGCCAAAATGCAACCATTACTATTGTTTAAATGGGGCCGAATGAAATAGTAATGCAGGAGCTCGAGTACTAAGTATGAAAGTGACACAAAAATATGACAATAAACGATCTGTGGAAAAACAGAATTGAAATTCTAAACCCACTTTTATGGATTCAACATCAAACCTTTCATTAATCAGTTCATTCGCTCACTCATTGTCACCCTTACCTTACAGTTCAGAAGGTTGCTGAGGAGGCCCATGGTAAATGCTGGTTTGCATTGCTCCGCTCCATCATGCACGCTGACTGAATGTGAATGCGGTGATGCCTGCTCTCACACAAACCAATGCTTTCATGAAGTCATTCACTCCATTTTTATTTGCATCTGAAAATGATCCACCAAATTAAATTTGAAATGCATGCACGATACATTGAGAGTCACAGATCGTCATGTTGTGAAGTGCATGAAAAACGTAACTACACAACAGTCTTTATTGTCAGCTTTTCAAACACTCCTCACTGCATCTGCTGTCCCCCCACATTGAGCTGCATGCACATGGTTTTCCTCTTGTATTTATGTAACAGTGCCTCTGTGTTGTTATCCTCTAGCGTGCAATGTTCTCTACATCAACTCCGTGGACATGGAGTCTCTCACGGGTCCTCAGGCCATTGCCAAGGCGATCAGTCAGACACTGGCGACCAACCCTCTGCCTGCCGCGACCACCGTGCACTTCAAAGTGTCCACACAGGGCATCACGCTCACCGACAGTCAGAGGAAGTGAGTCGACACCTGCAGAAACCAGAAGCTCTGACTTAAAGATGCAAGATTAATTTATTACCATGTCAATGACACATTGATTGGAATTTGTCTTGGTGTGTGTTGGGAGAAAATGAAAACAATACAATAGATCAGCATGGAGAAATCTTTCATTCAACGTTCTCCTATATTTAAACTCTATTAGAAAACAAGATTTTAGAAAAAGATGAAATTGGCAAAAAATCTGTGAACCTCATAGGGCTGTCCTCGACCAAAGATATACTTTGTCGGTGAACACTAAAACTGAGTTCCTTCACAGAGGGTCACACAAAAGCATCACTTCGAATCTTGTGTTTACTGTAGATGTGCTCATGAAATGGAAATTATTCATTCAGCAAGAAAAAGCATCAAAAGACGACTAATCGACGAAAGAAATCTTAGTCGACGACGACCAAAACAACGGATTAGTCGACTAATTAACTAAGAGGGGCAGCCCTGGAACCTTGTGTCATAATTACCGTGATGATAAAGATATCAAATCATAGAGGAAGATTGCAAAAAAAAGCAGTCTTACTTTGGCGCCCCGAGTGGTGATCTTGAAGAAGACACTGTGGCAAACGGAGTAACTGAAAAGATGCTTCAATCGTGAGAAAATCTTACATATGGAGGCTTTAATGGATTTACACAAGTACACAAATGTATGTGTTGCTGAGTCGTAACAACTATAATGTGTGTGTTCATTTCTCTTGCTGCAGACTTTTCTTCAGGCGACACTATCCCATCAACACGGTAACCTACTGCGACATTGATCCCCAGGACAGAAAGTAAGAAACCTCAAGACCCGTTTCCTTGTCAATAAAAGAAAACTACTCTTTGATTGTTTCATTCAAACATCTTGTTTCCTTTCAATAGATGGGGCAAAGAAGGAGGGGGTTCAGTGAAGTAAGTTTATAGTTAGAATAAATAAATATTTGGTGCAATTTTCTTTATTATTAGGTTATTATGGTGCTATAGGATATCAGAAAAATACTAACTCCAGGTTGTTTTTTTAATCCCTCCAGGCTTTTCGGATTCGTGGCGAGGAAACAAGGAAGCACAACAGACAATGTCAGCCACCTGTTTGCTGAGCTGGACCCAGATCAGCCCGCCTCCGCCATCGTCAGCTTTGCCTCCAAAATGATGAAGCGGTGAAACCCCCAATGTCCGAATGGCAGCGGCCATTTCGAAATCTTCCTTCGTCATTGGTGTCTTTTTCCACCAGGACTCGATGATGTCCTTTTTTTCTGTTTCCTGTTGGTTTGTTTCTGTTTCCCTTCTCTCTATTTTTCTCTCTGCCTTGCTGGTTTGTCTTGACTTTGGACATTTTTGGAAGAGTCTCTACTTGAGGGATTTGGTGTGGAATCCAGAGTGGCTCTAGTGGAAGTGTGGTGTGGAACTGTGAACGTGACAAACATGGAGGCCATTGAAGGGAGGGAATGTACTAACATGGGAACCTGTACTAGGAGAAATGCTAGTTAAAGACTAAAGGAACAACGCTAAGTTCAGTCGAGGAACACGTAAGGACACGTATGTTTCAGGGTTTTCCGTTGTCGATTTTGTTGATTGATTTACCAAAGGTAGTTGCAATACAAGTGCAAGAAAGATGTAGCTATTAAGCCATTATTATTTCCTCTTTTCAAAAGATGAAGTGTTGAACAAAACAAAAAGAAAAAAAAGAAAAATACGGTTTCTTCTTGAACTTGTCTTCAGGAAAAAAGTTGGCCTTGATGGCTTTTAGCAAAACATTGTCTGAAGACCTTATGCATGTTAGCTTGATCTTTAAGCTTGGTTCTTCTACCTTCCACAAAAATCATTGTGAAATCCTTAGAGTGGTCATTTTTCGGGTCTGTTGTGTTTTGGAAAGGGCTCTACAGTGAAACAAAGACTGATCTAAACTGCGCATAGCAAACCAGACTTTAAAAAAAACAAAAAAAAACACCACGCTGAGGTCACCGCACCTTGTGTCAATGCACACTTACATCACTTCGACGCCCGGTCCAAGCCTGATCTCTCTCTCTCTCTCTCAAAACTCGCTTATTGGATTCCTGAAATCAGCAAGCTCCTGATAGCATGGCAGTCGGAGAGAGGAAGACTGTTTGTCCACAAGATGGCGCTACCCCTTCAGGCTTGGATCCTCTCCCTAAGTATCACATTGACTTGCCCATCACCAACTGCTTGCAGTAGTGGATCTGTTGATAGACGCTGCCACTGAAACACACTGGAAATCACCAGGGACTGGCCCAATGACCTGGACCTATGCACTGTTCTTTATGCATGTTGTTGTCCCAAATTGCACCCTCCCTCATAGCTACATTCAACATCACTGAAAACATTCTATGCTGTGTGCTAAAAATGACTTAAAAACCTTTAGACAAGTACACTGAGGTTGTATGACTTGTCAAAGACTGCATGAAATAGACAACATTTTTGTACTCTTCTCAGAGTCCTGAAAAGAAGTAGACAACCCATTGTTGAAGTAGTCACATGATGGCGAAAATGCTATATTTTTACTTTCTTTAAGTTTGGTCCATTTGAGCCAGGGTTACCTTTCACTGTATCAAGGACGGACCGGTCTTTGTTTTTCCTTCCACAGTGTCGTCAAAATTTACATTTAGATACCTTTTAGGGCAAAGAAGAAGAAAAAAAGGAGTTTCCACACTGTGCGCAATATGCCTGCTTGTTGAATACACACGCTCAACCATTCACAATAAGCTAAGGAAAATTGATATAAATGTACATAGATATACTACTTTGAAAGGTGACATAGCGAAAAAGTATTTATTTTTGTTGCTTTGGTCCCTCATGATTACTCATATATACATATATTGTACAGTCTAGAAGATTACCTAATGGGTTGAGAAAAACATATATACTTATTTTGGCTAAAGATTTCAAGGTCTGATGATTTTGAAATGTGTTTGAATATATGGTGTACATTACTTTGTACATGTATATGTTTGTTCTCGGCTCGTCATATTTTGTTTTTGTTTTTTCAATTTTGCGTTCTCTCAGAACGAGGAAGGGCATGAATGAGATAGAAGCGTCTGGATTGCATGGACAGAAGCATTTGAGTGTGTTTCAGCAGCAGAAAAGCACTCATAGAAGCAAATGCGTTGTAGCTGGTAGATCCTGTCGATTTCAGAAAAAGGGAAGCACGAAAAAAAAGTTCAGAAGCCAACCTCAAATGCAATATGAAAACAGCTGTATGCACCCATGACAGTTACATTTATAATTTTGCCAAAGATTCAAACACTTCATGCTGCATGTCGCTTTTTACGTTCAACTGCTCCATTTTTGTGTTTCACACTTTACACATCTCGCTCAGCTTTAGCAGCAGATTTAAGAAAGCTCAACCAGCCAGTGTGTGTTATTGGTCGTGTAACTAACACAAGGGGCCCTTGGGTTTAAACAGCGAGACATTCAGCTGCAGATTACTTTTTTTATCAATTTGTTTTTACTGGTGTCTCAATGCTCTAAAAATGTGCCCACCTCCATCGGCTGTTCAAGAGAGAACAGGTCCGCTTTGCCCCAGTTGGAAGTGTGGAAACAAAGCACTTACATTTCACAATACCAAAAGACGAAATTCCACATGGGTGTCGTTGCTGGAGGTAAATGAAGTTCGACGTGTCTCACCGCGATGCTAAAGCTCCACAGCTGCAGCTCCGTCAGACTGCCAAAGGTGTCTTCTCTCGAAAAGTGATTACTGATTTATTTATTCTTATTTATTCATTTTTTTTTTTTCCTGACATGTTTAAAAAAATCTTGTTTCATTGTCGCATCATTGCAGTTTTAACGGTCAGTGTTAACGAATGGAGGAATGTATGGTGGCGCTTTATTAGGAGCAAAGAGGTACATTGCACTTAAATCGACTACTAACAAGCTTTGTGCCGTTTTTAGTCATTTTGAGGAAAAAAAAGTTCTCTAAATTAAAAAAAAAAAAAAAAAAAGAATCTGATATTGCATTTTACCTGTTGGCTTTGAGTCAAGAGTTACCTGGTTTCAGTGAAAAAGAAGAGATTTGTGACCCCTTTGTACAGCTGGGACTTGTTGGATGAATGTGATACTATGAATGTACAAAAGGGTCTCGGATTTTGTTTGCGCTTATCATTTACATTATATTGTCATGGCTTACCTGTTCCTAAGGAGAAAAAAAAAAACATTAAAGCAATACAAATGAGTTACATTCAAGCTATGTGGGTGTTTTGTGACTTGATAAATAGGTTTTATAGCAGTCTTGATTAATGATTTTACTGCATTTGACAGCATTCCTTTGTTCTCCAAACATCAACCTCAATCATTCAGCCTCTCTGTCAGGTGTGCAGCTCCTGGCTGAACCTCTTTAGGTTCAATATGGAACACCTTGGGGAAGTTTATTTAAGGAGCTGCTGCCTCTCAACAGACGTGTGTGTGTGTGTGTGTGTGTGTGT